CCATCCGCATCCCTGCGCATCCTCCCCATCCCCATCCCCATCCGCATCCCCATCCCCATCCGCATCCCCATCCGGAGTATTTTACTATATCTCATTGTCCCAGGCTGCTGCGCCTGCGCCTGCGCCTGGAGTATTTTACTATATCTCGTTGTCCCAGGCTCCCCATCCCCATCCCGAGTATTTTACTATATCTCGTTGTCCCAGGATGCGCCTGCGCATCCCCCTGCGCATCCGAGTATTTTACTATATATCCTTTGCGCATCCTGGGTGCGCCTGCGCCTGCGGATACTACCCAAAAGTGACCTAATATACTACTCGCGCGGTATGGCAACCAGAGAAAGCGTAGATGCGCTCATTTTGAAGTAATATGAGCAGTCAGGTACTCATTTAAGCTGGGTCGGCTCTGTCATATAATGGGGAACGTTAAAAAGATCAGACACATAAGTAAATTAGCGCTCATTTGATGTCAGGTACTCATTTAAGCTGAGTCGGCACTGAAATACAATGGGGAAACAACTTATGGTAAGACAATTAGACACAGATAAGTAAAGTAAATTAGCGCTCATTTGACGTGATATGAGCAGTCGGGTACTCATTTAAGCTGAGTCGGCACTGACATGTAATGGGAAAACAACTTATGGTAAGACAATCCCGACACAGATAAGTAAATTAGCGCTCATTTGATGTGAACGGAACATTCTGTTATCGACATGCTCCTTTGTGCACCTCCTCCCCCCCACCCTACCCCCTCACAACGCACATATCACCCGTAATATTTAACACCTGGTGCCCTCTCTGCTAACCGAGTGCCCTCATGGCCCCTGATAACAGGACACGAAACGTGAGACCCCCAGAACACGTCACGTGGTCGCGTGGTCACGTGGTACGCTAGTGGGCTATTTATAGATCGCACAAAGAGTAGACGCCGGTTTAGATGATAACGTTTATTATGGTGTATAGGGTGAAGAAGAAAGAAAAAAAATATCTTAATAATACTTATAGTTTATTAAACATTAGCTGAGAGGCCAAAGTATATTTCAAAGAAAAAAAATGTGTTTGGCTACCCACCTACTTTGGTTTGAAATAGACGCATTCCTCATCCATGAATGGTAGGTTCGAATCCCGTTGGGTTCTGACTTCTGTCTTTACTTGGACTATATTCTGTACCTTTGTCTACCCTTGGCGTTGAAATATCACTTCTGCTTATTATATTGCTATTTCAGTTACAACGTCTGCTTCCACCCCTTCTACTCACCAATAAATGATGTCGCGCTTTTTTTTTTAAGATTAAGAAAATTCAAATAAATTATTACATTTTAAATATGTTGATTTTTAAAAATTAGAGTTGCCTAGGAATGGAAGGTAAGGGTTAATGATTATTGGGCGACTGTTTTGTTCGGCTTTTAGTGATGACGTGTCACTCTAGGGTGGGTTGTAACCACTCGGCTAAAATTATGTGACGTCATTTACGGGCGGACCCGTAGATCCAGGTAATTTAAAGTTTGGTTATTAGCGTTGGATAATTAGCTTTGACTTCCAATAAGATGATCTACCTAATGTTGTTTGATTTATTTTTTTTTTCTTGCAGCAGCATTTAAAATGTTTTACTTCGCGAGTAAGAAATTTAGGCCCTAATATATAACTGTTTTCAACTGAATCGATATCTGTTTGTGTGTGTGTATGTGTGTGTGTTCGTGCGTGCGTGCGTATGTGTGGTTTTAACAACGTAGTACAAAAGAAGTAAAAAAAAAATTAACTTTTAAGTTTGGCTCCTTAAGCATCTCTTTATGCACACACAAATATGTGTAAACCTTCACCCTTAATAAAACTCCACCGTTACACCCCTCCCCTTCCACACACAGACACACACACACACACACACACACACACACCTTTCTCTTTCACATTAATTCTCGCAATACATTTTATTTGCAATCCCGTTCAGATGTCCACACTAGCCACCGAACCACAACAATGGGCCCGTTCCAATAGCCGGTGTCAAATACGACGGCTGACCGTCGCTTTCTTGTGCGGACCGCGACGGACACGGGCATGTCCGAGAAAACAATCCCGGCCCGGGGCCCTGGGGGGGGGGGGGGGGGGATACCTCACCCCCCTATGTGCCAGGTTTCACGCCCGTGTGTCGGGATGAATTGAAACTGTGGGGCCGGGTCAGCCCTGGGCGACGTCTAAATATTTTCAGGATTAAGTAAACTTGAGATATTTTTACCTGGTACTTGGGAGATGGGGAGACACTGAAGTGAGGAGGGGGAGGGGTGAGAGGGGAGGACTGTTATTTAATAGAATTAAAGAGTAAAGGCGGCTAAAGCAACAAGTGTTGGTCAGATTTGTTTGTCGTTCGTTGACGTCATCAACTGGTTTGTTGGCATTACTGGCACAGTGGCATAGGCATTACTGGCACAGTGGCATAGGCATTACTGGCACAGTAGCATAGGCATTACTGGCACAGTAGGCATTACTGGCACAGTGGCATAGGCAAGTGTCGAGCTAACAAGTGGATCCTACTTGACCAGAGCAAGGTATACATAGGCATTACTGGCACAGTGGCATAGGCATTACTGGCACAGTGGCATAGGCATTACTGGCACAGTGGCATAGGCATTACTGGCACAGTAGCATAGGCATTACTGGCACAGTGGCATAGGCATTACTGGCACAGTAGGCATTACTGGCACAGTGGCATAGGCATTATTGGCACAGTAGCTTAGGCATTATTGGCTCAATAGCATAGGCATTTTTGGCACAGTGGCATAGGCATTACTGGCACAGTGGCATAGGTATTCTTGGCACAGTGGCATAGACATTACTGGCACAGTGGCATAGGCATTACTGGCACAGTGGCATAGGTATTATTGGCACAGTGGCATAGACATTACTGGCACAGTGGCATAGGCATTACTGGCACAGTGGCATAGGCATTATTGGCACAGTAGCTTAGGCATTACTGGCACAGTGGCATAGGCATTATTGGCACAGTAGCTTAGGCATTACTGGCACAGTGGCATAGGCATTATTAGCACAGTAGCTTAGGCATTATTGGCTCAATAGCATAGGCATTACTGGCACAGTAGGCATTACTGGCACAGTAGCATAGACATTACTTGCACAGTAGACATTACTGGCACAATATGCATTACTGGCACAGTAGCATAGGCATTACTGGCACAATATGCATTACTGGCACAGTAGCATAGGCATTACTGGCACAATAATATAGGCATTACTGGCACAGTAGCAGAGACATTACTGGCACAGTAGGCATTACTGGCACAATATGCATTACTGGCACAGTAGCATAGGCATTACTGGCACAGTAGGCATTACTGGCACAGTAGACATTACTGGCACAGTAGGCATTACCGGCACAGTAGCATAGACATTACTGGCACAAGAGCATAGGCATTACTGGCACAGTAGCATAGGCATTACTGGCACAGTAGCATTACTGGCACAGTAGCATAGGCATTACTGGCACAGTAGCATAGGCATTACTGGCACAGTAGCATTACTGGCACAGTAGCATAGGCATTACTGATACAACGGTATAGGCGTAATTGGTACGATGGGATGGGCATTATTGGTACAAGGGCATTTGTATTTTGGCACAAGAGCATGGGCGGACATATTAATTTTGGCACAAGTGAATAGGCATTATTAGCAAAATGACATAGGCACCAATGACACAAGTGCATAGGCATTATTAACTAAATGACATAGGCGCCATTGACATAAGTGCATAGGCATTATTAACTAAATGACATAGGCACCATTGACACAAGTGAACATGCACATTAGGCACTATTGTCACCAGGGCATTTTGGGACATTCGTTACAAAACACAACATCACGAATATCATTCGTGCTCTAAATTAGAATTGCATAAATACTACAGCTTTCTTATACATCTTTTTAAATTTATAACATGTTTTTTAATGTGTATATAACTTTGTTCCGTTATTTATCAAACTTCAATTTTCTTGTTGGTTTTAGAGATAGACGTATATGTAAATTATTGTAAACCAAACCTACACACAGACTTGCTTACGAAGCCCACGCATACACCCTCTTCCCACACACATACTCACTATCCCACACACACATCCACACACAACACCCCATATATTAGTATAAGAGCGGAAGGGTGTGATAAATATAAAACATTCTATTCACTGTCGTTTTACCATCCCCCCCCCCCCCACACACACACAATCACTTCCGCAGTATATGTTAAGAGAGAATAAGACCTCTCTTTCATTCTATCTCTTTTAAACATCTGAAAGGGTACGCTAGTATACAAATTAGATGAAGAAAAAAATGAGTACAATAAATGCTAACCCTTCATGCATTCTAATAAAAATACAAAGAATAAAAAGACAAACAACTTTCTGGCGCTAAACGAGCCTTAACCCGTCGACAAAGGGCGCCACATTATCACCTGCTACCAACTCACGTGAGCAGTATTAAAAGCGTCTTTATTCCTGCAGGGTAACAAAGCAACGACACGCGCACACCCTGGATTTTTCCCCCCATTCAGACTCACTTCCGGGAAGCACGTTCCACTATAGGCCTAGTAGTAGTAAAGATCCCCCCCCCCCCCCCCCCACCTTGTATCCACCCCTTTCCCTGAATTAAACAACGTGAAAAAAAAAATAACAACAGATGTCGCGCCACAACTTGCTAGGGCCGATGCTATTTTAAGCTTTTGTAGGACCTACAGAGTTATCGGGAATTCCATTATTATTCTTTATTTTTTATTTTTAGCATGCCTACATCAAGTTGGGACAAGTCCAAAATTATCAATGAGACAAGCGACACCGTACCGTGACCTCGTTCTCGCTTCAAACCTCTCGCCGTGTCTCGCCGCCAGCGCTGATTGGCTGACGAATGTCAACTGCCTTGAGCTGATTGGGCGACGGTCACAACATAGAGACTGTTCCTCGCGCTGGCCTAGACAAGTCATAACGTGCCTAGGCCCTAGACGTCGGTGCATCGTTTTGTGCCTTAGCAGAAAGAAAACAGAATAAAAGTCGCCGCTTTCGATTTAAGTCGCATTCGCTTCTTGAAACTTCGACCGGATTGCTTCTCGCTTCAAAATATTGTGGATTTAATACAAGTAGCTTGAAGTAACACCTGTTATAAGAATAAAGTTAAATTCTATACAGAATAAATATTAAATAACAACTTCTGCAGTCCAGTACCAGAATTTCACATTGATTTAACAAGACACTCGTAAGTTTTTAAAATATTTAATAATTATTATTGTAGTTTTTAATGACATTAGTATTGCTCGATTGTTTTGAGTAGTAGCTTAATATTTTTAAAATGATCTATTTCTATTGTATTACTAACAAAATGCACACAGTTATTATTAATTAAAATTAATTACATCAAACTTAAAGACAAATTTATTTATTTAATGATATGTTTGTTACTTTTTAATATTAAATACTTTATTTACCTTAATGCTTAACTTGTAGATCTAGACCTGTTTTTTATTTTATTTTTATTCTAGATCTAGATCCATATTAGGTCTTACTATATGATAATAAAATGATTTTTATTATATAAATATTAACATTCTATTTAATCTATTTATGCCGCTAATGATAGTGATAATCCCGAGTAAAGTATAAGCCTAGTAAGGCAATCAATCACTTCGTAGTTCCATTACTTTTGATTATGTTCAAAAAACTAATATACCCCCCCCCCCCCCCCCCCGGAGTCTAAAATTAAAAAACTATAGACAGATTTTCAAGCCCAAGTTGCAAAATATGTAGTATACGTTTTTCCATCGAGTCTCTGTACTACAAAGTGTACTGACTCCAACCCTCCTTCATGTTACACACTGATTTTAAGATGAATTTGTGGTTGTTTGGCGTTGTAGATTGTCCTTACCACATCCCATCTGCTGTAGTGATGTTGTACATTATCCTTACCACATCCCATTTGAGATAGTAGTCGTGTTGTACATTATCCTTACCACATCCCATCCGATATCCTGGTATACTATATTGAATAACAAACAAATACTATAAGCTCATATCACGAGGTAACTAAAAGCTAACAGAACCCGTATCGTAAGACTTTTCGGTACCTTTAAATGTGCCAGCATTAGTTTTGAAGAAATGGAAACATCGATATGAGATATTGTTATTGCCCCGACGAAGTTTCTAGAATAAGCGACTTTTTATGAGTTCAGTGGAAGAGGGAGGTCCCTATATGACTTAACGTAATGTTAAAATTTGTTCCGCCGACGCCCTCCCCCCCCCACCCACTCCTACCCCCCGACCCCCTCATCCATATGACAAATTGTCGCAGAGACCCCACATACAAGAACATCAGAAACTTTCAACGATCCGCTATAATAAACAGTTTTTTAACACACTAAGCTTTTTAAACATACACAATTTCATTTTTATTTACGCCACATATCTTGAACCCCAGATGGTTACATATATGTGTGTGTGTATAAATTCATATGGACAGTCCTTTTGTTCTTATCTCTATTAGACATGTTTTCTGTGTACCTCATACTTGATGAGGTAGAGCTACCTCATAGTTGATGAGGTAGAGTTCACCTCTTTTCGTGACCTCGGCATAAGGAACCGACATCACAGATAAACTAAATCTCACCCTGTTACCCATCTTAAATCTAAACCTAACCCTAATCTTCTCTGTCCAAGCTCATCAGCAACATACCCTCCATCTTTCTAATCCAGACCACACAATAAGTGGTTCAAAAAAATACAGTATTCGTTTACAAACAGTATTAGTTTACAAAATCCTTATAGGGCCTATTTGTTCCGTTACTCTAAAGTTCCTGAAGCCACCGTCTAAAAATAGAATCAGATCCACAACAAACATGACCTCTCGTCTGCCGTAGTCCGAGTCTTTCTGTTGACCAAACAACAGCTGAGTCGTCCGTTTCTTAACCGTTATAGTCTAACACTAGATCTAGTAACAGATGACGGTAAATCATCATCCATACGAGTATTAGAAACTATAAGCATGGGTTGTGTCTAAAGTTAGTTTAAGAATTTTAGGATTTAAATATTATTAGGGTATAAATCTGGGTAATATTGTGTATTCTTATAATAATAACCAAGCAACTAGTTTTCGTGCTAGTTTGATAACGTAAAATATTGAGCCCCTTTATCCTAGCGGTAAAGTTATCGGCAATTCCCGTTACACAACGACGTGTCAAACATGTAAAATTTATTGCGATATTTTTAGCCGGACACTTTCACAAGGAGCGGCTGGAGCCTGGAATTACTATAAAAAAATAATAATGAATACATTTTAAAAACGAGACTCGTAATGATAATTAATTGGATCTGTTGAAATAATTGATCATTTAATTTGTCAAGTTTCTGATAACAAATGATTATCTAATTCTCTCCCTGTTTAAACAATCAAGTTACCTCCCATGTTTACACATATAGCAATATAACGAAAGTGTAACCACAAAAGCTGCTTGTTACATCGTTAAAATGACATTGGCTTACTTATATCTTTACACCCACCCACTGCGCACAGAAGAAAGTGATCTGGACAGGGGAGGTAAACAGTGACATTAAAGATCGAGTAGGCGTCACTGATGCGACGTGTGTACATAGGCTAGCAGACGGGATGAAACATCTGACGTCACGCGGTTTGGTAACACGGGGGTGGGCGCGGGGGATCTCACACTCCCGTCTTACTTCCATGTTGGAATGTTTACTTGGGGGGGGGGGGGGTCGTCTTTAATCTTTATCAACATAAACTCCACACCTATTTACCTTAATACCTAGCATTAAACGGAAGGGAAAAAAAAGAAAAAAGAGGTACCGGTACCTAAATTAAAACTTGATGTTTTTTTTTTTAATGTGCCGGTAACTCTACGGGGGACTCGGGACTCTTTAATTATTATGACTGAGTTCTGCCTTATCAAGTCGTATCTGACTTATTGGTGACCTTGACAATGAAAATCGAGACGTCTGCCTGACCGATCAGGCGTCTGACAACTTGTCCTTGATGCGTGGTTTACACTTACGCTCCGGGCTGTTTAATGAGTCTCCGTTAGACGGCTGTTTAATGAGTCTCCGTTAGACGGCTGTTTAATGAGTCTCCGTTAGACGGCTGTTTAATGAGTCTCCGTTAGACGGCTGTTTAATGAGCCTCCGTTAGACGGCTGTTCTGTCCGCCCGGTGACGGTAATGTATCGGTCTCCGTGGGTGGGGGATAGAGGGGGTTGAGATGGCGATCAGGTTAGGTAACTTGCGTGTGTTTTTTTAGTGGGGGGGGGGTATATATTGAACTGAGAATAATAAAATACTTATAAGTTAGTTTTTCATATAATATAGATTTCAATATATTTAACGTGTGTAAATTTAGCACGTGTAAATGATAAGATGTGCACTTAAACTCACAACTTCCAGAGTCTGTTGTTATAAGTTGGCACTCTTTTTTTTTCAACACCCACCCCTTATTTTCTTTTAAAAAATCAAAATAATTGTCCTTGTGACCTAAGGCTGTAATGACCATTCTACAACCCCTTATTTTCTTTTAAAAAATCAAAATAATTGTCCTTGTGACCTAAGGCTGTAATGACCATTCTACAACCCCTTATTTTCTTTTAAAAAATCAAAATAATTGTCCTTGTGACCTAAGGCTGTAATGACCATTCTACAACCCCTTATTTTCTTTTAAAAAATCAAAATAATTGTCCTTGTGACCTAAGGCTGTAATGACCATTCTACAACCCCTTATTTTCTTTTAAAAAATAAAAATAATTGTCCTTGTGACCTAAGGCTGTAATGACCATTCTACAACCCCTTATTTTCTTTTAAAAAATCAAAATAATTGTCCTTGTGACCTAAGGCTGTAATGACCATTCTACAACCCCTTATTTTCTTTTAAAAAATCAAAATAATTGTCCTTGTGACCTAAGGCTGTAATGACCATTCTACAACCCCTTATTTTCTTTTAAAAAATCAAAATAATTGTCCTTGTGACCTAAGGCTGTAATGACCATTCTACAACCCCTTATTTTCTTTTAAAAAATCAAAATAATTGTCCTTGTGACCTAAGGCTGTAATGACCATTCTACAACCCCTTATTTTCTTTTAAAAAATCAAAATAATTGTCCTTGTGACCTAAGGCTGTAATGACCATTCTACAACCCCTTATTTTCTTTTAAAAAATCAAAATAATTGTCCTTGTGACCTAAGGCTGTAATGACCATTCTACAACCCCTTATTTTCTTTTAAAAAATCAAAATAATTGTCCTTGTGACCTAAGGCTGTAATGACCATTCTACAACCATGCTGTTGGGGTGGGAAGGGGGGGGGGGGGGTGGTCCAGGAAATGCAGTTAAGACTCCGCTTAAAAGATTAAATTATCTTAGTCACCAGGTAGAAGCCTGATTTGTCATAGTTTTTACCAACTGAAGACCGACTCACGTCAAATGTTTGACTACTAACAATGACTTGGTTTAGCCAATTTCCGAGCAAGGTGGAATCACGTGACTTTACCGAGGAAAGTAGCAGCCCTCCGTCATCTAACACAACTTTCTAGTTTTAGCGCTAACCCAAACCTTAACCCAAGTCCTACCCTAGCCCTAACCTGATATATCGTACAATGGGGAGAAATTAGTGGTTTGGGTTATGCTTTCAATTAACGCCTCAAATTTAATTTTAGCCTCAAATGTATGAAATGTCGGAGTGCAAGTCATTTCATGATTTGATACACGTCGAGATTATGTTAAATAAGTAATTATATGGGGAGGGGGGATTGAGGTCATGGTCCCATATAACAAAGGTCAATATTAGGGTCATAAAAACACGCATATAGTAAGGGATTAATTGCTCCGGTGACGAACGTAGTAGGTCTTTAGCTTGGTTTGTTCTTCCCAGTATCAAGTGGGTCATTCGATACGGTGTGGGCCAAGAGGGTCATTCGATACGGTGTGGTCAAGTGGGTCTCAAATGGTGCAAATTCGGGGATCAGGGGGGACTAACATTCAGATAGCCGTGATACGGTAAAGCTTTGATATCCGTACCTTGGAAATCCCCCCTCGCTTATCTAACTTGACTTGGGATGACCGCTGTTGTGCGTGTGGTCAAGGCTGTTCAGATTCCCACCACCCCTCACCCTCTCCACCAGTCTAACTAAAAATAGAATGACCTAGCAGGATGCCAATAACTTGTAACTTCTGTCTAGTCTTGAGTCACTCTGTCTAGTCTTAGTCACCTCCATTTATGGAGCTTCACTTATAAATATGCCATGCAACTATGACACAATATGATGAAAAAAATGTCTAAAAATTGCGTTTTTTTTTCTCCTTAGGTAGACTTTACAACCTTTGTTAAGCTGAAGTTGAGCTACAGAAAATGGGACCCGTGCACATAGTTCTGATAATTCATTTGGCCATGTTGTCTTATGGGTACACCACAGCAAGAACTGTGGACCTAGTTGATTATGATGACAACTCACCTGTGCTCTGCCCACCTGATAATTATTTCAACACAGAACAGGTAATTAATTTTTTTTCTTTTGGAATATTTAATTTCAGGTGATTGTTGATATAGAGAGGATTTTGGATTGGTTCAGAAAAAAAAAGGAGGGGGGGAGGGTGTCATAATCAGTCTAGAATTGTTCATAGTTATGGGAACCAGCATGCAAACAGATTTTCTATTTAAAAATCAAATGTGGTTTAGTGTCTTAGTTGGATCTAGAGAGTAACTTGGGGTGGTTGGGCTTCTTAATGTCCCTCCCCCAGCCTTTGTAGAAAATGTTTGAAAAGTACTTTTGTAACACCTTACTGATAAAACAATTTTTTAAACTTCTAAATAGGGCCTACATTCCATGCATAGATCTGTGTGTCTATATGTATGTGTGTGTTGATTTTGAGTTGTTGTTGGGTTTTTTTAATTAATTAATTAACACATTTTTTTTATCACCCCATCAGGAAGCCTGCATGGTGTGTTCTGAATGTCCAATGAACAAAATCATCACCAGCCCCTGCCACAGGTTTCAAGACACCATCTGTGGGCCCTTCTATGAGCTGCCTGACATTGAGGTGTCAGCTGAGAATGATTCAGTCAGCTCAGAACTGGATAACCAACAAATCCAACGCAACGTTCAGAAATCCGCTGGTCATAGCGATGAGACCGTGGATGCGGAATCGTCACAGTGGCATTCGCTTGCAGTTAATCTGACTCTGCTAATCTCTGGATTCGTTATCATTATCGTGGCGATTATCGTGGGAGGGGTGTGTTTTGTGAAGAGGAGGTTAATGAGGGAGAAACAGCTGAGTTGTGAGTACAGCCCCCCACCCGGGAGGGCGGCAGAGCAGGAGTGTTGATCTGAACTTTGACCTTGTTGAATTGTGATGCTGAAGTGATGGTTACCTCTTGGTATTTTTGGGGAATTGCTGCTTCAATAAGTTCAATGGTTTTACCTCTTGGTATTTTTGGGGAATTGCTGCTTCAATAAGTTCAATGGTTTATAATTTTTTTTTACACTGGTTTAACTTCTCTAAACTAATTAGTAATTACATTAATTAAAGTGTGTTGTTTTGAAATTTGTTTCCTGCATGTGCTGCAGAAAAGATCTTACTTTTTAAAAAAAATTATGTTTTTTAGTTTACTTCTTGGTGAAGCCAGTCTCACTGTTGTAAGCCTAGAGGTCTTATATTGTGGTGTGAGCTTAAGTCTCACTATTACTTACGTTCACTAGTTCTTTTTAACTTTAGATAAGAAAAGGGCATTTCTTTAGTCCAGTTTTATTTTACAAGTTTCATTTCTTTTTTTTTTAAACTGTTTATTTTATAACATAATCTCTTAATTGTTAAGATATTCCTTGTATTTTTGAATACCTTATTGCTTTAGCTCCTGGTATTTATCTAAGCTCTGTGTATATTAAGCTCCTGGTAGACTGTTTAAAACAGGAAAAATGTTTTTAGCTCCACATATTTTTTACCTTCACTGTGGTAAATCAGATGCAATTATTCTTTCTTCAATTTAAAAAAAAAAAATTTAATTATTCATCATGCTTTGTCCATGTGAAATGGTTCATAGCAACACATTTAAATAAATTAAACGAGTATTTTAAAAAGTATTTGTAATTTTAAATTGCTCACAATTTTAAACACTGCAGGAGAGAAGAAATAAGTTTCTCACTATAAAGCTGTGTACTGAATTTGTAAATACTTATGTTTATAATCTTTAAGTTATTAACTATTTATTTGGAGAGAATTATTATTTTATTTTATATTTAGAGGGTTTCAACTTAGAAAAGTTTTAGATTTTATTTTTCTTTAATGGAAATATTGATGTGGATGGGGTGTTGTAGACAATGATGTGAAAAATAGTCATTGGTATAAAATGTGATATCAATTTATATGAAATAAATGGTGAATTTTTGACTCTGTGGTGGTAGATGAGTTCATGCTTGCGATGCATGTGTCTTTATGTGGTTGGTGTTTGAACAATTAACGTAAGGTTTGATAATGAAGCAAATGTTTATTCCTAGTCTGATAGATGTGGTGGATGCTTTCATGCTTGCAATATGTGTGTCTGTATACGTGATTGATGCGTGAATAATTAATGTAAGGTTTGATAATGAATCAAGTGTGTATTCCTAGTCCGATAGATGTGGTAGATGCTTGCAATATGTGTGTCTGTATATGTGATTAATGATTGAATAATTGACATATGGTTTGATAATGAAGCAAGTGTGTATTCCTAGTCTGCGAGATGTACAATATGTATATAACACTGTATACAGTTTTTTCAAATGAATAACATTACCAGTATTAAGACCTGAGCTAATCAGGTTTGTTTCAGACCAAGATCTGGTCTATCAAATTCCATTTTTTTATTTACTCTTTATATTGTTCATGTTGGCCAAATATTTTAAAATGTTATGAATAATAAACATGTTTTGTTTTCGAATGAAAATAAAGAATTTTTTAAAATAAATTTTATTTTGTATATATTATTTTTTTATATTTCTAATGCTAATTAACAATTTTTAGAATTGTACTTCAAAACTTGTTTGGGTCAGTTATCACAGCTTCTTATCTTCAAGGTGTAATGATTAAAGATGTTGATAAAATATACACTGCAGAAATAGCGAAAGTTAAAGTAAAGTTCCCTTTCAAACCTGACGGTCTATAGGGCAAGTGAAGTAGAGTTCACTTGTTTCTGTGACTCGGCATATGAAGAGATAGTGTGGTCAGCACTATGCCCAGCCACCTTTACTTTCCCTAATATGAGTTAGGTACCCATCAGAGTTGGGTGGACTCAGGGACGTTCTACTGCAGAAATAGTGTTACACATTAAAAAAATCCACTGATTATTACATTGTGGTCTATAGAGTCAGTGTTCCCTCTGTTCCCCCTGTGTAGTAGTTCTAAAAACCTGCTGACACATTGGCTGACAAAGTTGAATAAGTGTAGCTCACACAACATATCTGCTGGATTTTATAACTACTTTTAAAAGTACTAGATGCAATCACCAGCAAGTACAAAATCAGGTCCAGACATACAAGATACATTAACCTACCAGCGTAAACCAAGACCATAGCTAAGCCTTATGCCTAGATAACGAAATCTAAAGGCCAGATAATGCATTAAGCTTTTGTTATGTTTTCATTTTAACAAATTGTTTGTTGCTAGCTATGGCTAAATTATCAGTCTGGTTGTCAGTGAAATTAATGCTTCTCTATTGATCCATTTAACTCAATCGCCAAACAAATACAATGATTCTTTATATATCCTCTGTAACCCCTCCCTCCCCCCCCCCGGATACCAATGCTCATTTACAGATCCACTGTAACACACACACCAAGTACGCTACTCTTTAGACACCCTCAAACGCACCATCAGATCCACTGCTCGTCCATAAAACACCATCTAACTATTCCAACAACAAGTCACCACAACTCCTCTATACAACCCCTCTAACCACCCACCAACACACCACAACTCCTCTATACAACCCCTCTAACCACCCACCAACACACCACAATTCCTCTATACAACCCCTCTAACCACCCACCAACACACCACAACTCCTCTATACAACCCCTCTAACCACCCACCAACACACCACAACTCCTCTATACAACCCCTCTAACCACCCACCAACACACCACAACTCCTCTATACAACCCCTCTAACCACCCACCAACACACCACAACTCCTCTATACAACCCCTCTAACCACCCACCAACACACACCACATACCCGGTACTAAAATGTTCCTATTCAACCACCTTACAAAAACACACAGGTGACCAAGATCCGCTACTCATCATTCTGTGTATTCTACGACACGACAAAGCCAACAACAAGCCTGCACATAAAATAGGAAGTAAAGAAGAACAATGCGAAAAAACGCGAAATAAAATTCATTCATTTCAAAATAAAATAAAATAGACGAAAAGAAAAAGAAACGGAACAAAAATTTGTATTTTTCTAAACGTGTAGGAGTAGGCCGATGAGCTTACTTAAAGGTTTAAACACTCGGCCCTTCAGACACAGTGGCATTCCAAGGGAGGACAAAACCCAAGGGAGATAAAAGGTGCAGGCGGTGAGCGTTGATTTACGGAGTAACCGTTTGGCCCCTGTCGTTGTCAACGCCCGTGGCCGGACACATAATAGGGTCTTTTATCCACGGGCCTGGCCCGGCCCCCGGGTTGTATTATACTTTCACACAATGATGGAAATAGTTGAAGACTTCGACAATGGCGCGCGGAAGCAGCCGTTCGTTCATAGTTGAGGGCCGTCACAAGGGGCGGTAACCCTTGGCCTCAGGGGGCTTCGGGGTTATTTAAAAACACAAACCAGGACAGACAGCGGACAGTGACTCCGGTGTCTAGGGTCATTAAAATCTCCTATACAAAGATGACCCAGGACTAGAGGAATTTTTTTTTTTAAAATCTATATAGGCCACTGCATTGTATCGACCAAGGTATCTAAAACGTATTCAATGTTGAAGCATAGACCATACTCTTTGCAAGCAGATAAAAAAAAAAGAAAAGTTAGATGGCCGAAACTAGCATAGAGAAGAGTTGGAAAATAGAAAAAAAGGGCTATTCTATGTGAATGACATAAAATCAACTTGGGGGGGGGGGGGGAGGGTCAAAAACAAAGTAATAATTACACAATAACACGCAGATAAAGTTAAAATTTTGGACCGGATGTTAAATATGGCAAATAAAGTAAAATGGGTTTGTTTTCGAAAGGTCAATTTATTTGAAGGGATATTGGGTTCACTTCTAACTTCTAACACCCAACTGTCTTTCCTTCCAAACTTGAAACAGGTACTTATCAGAGCTGGGTGGACTCAGTGACATCCTACATTTAACTTCGGGTAACGAACTTCAAGAATTTGATACTGCCGGATTTACAGTCAGCTGCACTACCGCACGGCCACGCTTTGAATGCCATGGTCTACATTGATATAGGCCTATAAAATAATGTCTGTTGTAAATTCCCAACCCCCCCCCCCCCACACACACACACACACAAACCCACACATTCGTGTAACATCATTTATGGACTACTTCACTACTTCATAAGTAAATAATACACATACCAGATCTACATAATAAAAAGTTAAATATAGATATCGCAGCATGTCCACAAAAAATGGAGGGTACAAAATGCAAGTATAGTGTAACACACTAAATATAGATCTAGCAGCATGTCCACAAAAATGGAGGGTACAAAATATAACTTGAGTGTTACACACTAAATATAGATCTAGCAGCATGTCCACAAAAATGGAGAGTACAAAACACAACTAGAGTGTAACACACTAAATATAGATCTAGCAGCATGTCCACAAAAAATGGAGGGTACAAAATGCAAGTATAGTGTAACACACTAAATATAGATATCGCAGCATGTCCACAAAAAATGGAGGGTACAAAATACAAGTATAGTGTAACACACTAAATATAGATCTAGCAGCATGTCCACAAAAATGGAGGGTACAAAACACAACTAGAGTGTAACACACTAAATATAGATCTAGCAGCATGTCCACAAAAATGGAGGGTACAAAACACAACTAGAGTGTAACACACGAGTGTACATGTGTGACAGCACGTGTGTTGAGCTCGTGATTTATTTATTTTTAAACAGGCGCTTGCTAATTATGTTGAAATATAAAGCCTATTGTGTGGAACTATAAGAGGAATAACGTTATTAGAAAACTGAAAAGGGGTCGTCCATAAATCAGTGGCGTAGCGAGGTCGGGTGTCACCCGGTGCGGCACTTAATGGTGTCACACCCCCCCCCCCCAGAGGCGTAGCCACCCTTACCGGGGACAAACTTGCAATTTTCGATTTGAACCCCCCCCCCCCCCCGCCCTCAAACTTTCGATTTGCATCCCTCTCAAGCTTTCGATTTTCACTCCCCCCCCCTCAAACTTTTGATTTGAACCTCTTAAAAGACTATTTAACAACCGAATTAATCACTTAACTAAGTGGAATTATCATTTTTCTCTATATATTTTGCTATTTTTTGCCTTGGTGTCACCCCCCTTAATAGTGCGTTCCGCTCCCCCCCCCCCCCCGCCCCCCATCCTGCCATAAATAACGTCACACTCGTAGGGGGGAGGGTCTGTAATTTTGTGACGGCGTGTGATGAGGGAAAAAGGGGGGGGGGTCAGATCGTTCGACGTCACACTTTTGCATGATAAAAAAGAAATGTTAGAAAACGAGTTTTAGCCGTTATTTCGCGTTTCAGAAAACTTTTAATAAATTGTAATAGGAATTGATTAAAATACTCTATGTTGACAGAGTTCAGACAAGATTTTGGAAAAATATCGATGTTTTTAAGAAAAATTCAACTGCAATTTTGAGGGGGGGGGGGTTGTAGGCTGAGGTGTGACTTCATTTTAGGGGGGGGGGGGTCTTGCTTTTTGTGACGATGTGTGACGGAGGGGAGGGTGGTTAAAATCTTTCAAAAAGCGTGACGTCATTTATGGATGACCTTTTACTGTAATAATATGAATTTTCAATACCTACCTACACTAAATGCTCAAAAACCCTCAATAAAAACAAGTTAGATTTCAACCCAATTCATGACCTCACTAACAAACAAAAAAGAACACACAAACATTCTACACACACACACACACACACACACACACAACAAACATGTTTGAAAACATAAACCATTTATAAACAAAAATGTGTTTACAACTTTTTTCTGTGACTTTACATGTTCACCTTTACACCGCAACGAAACACAAATAGTGATTAAGGCACTGTAGGTTGTTTAATTTTCATCAAACCTCATCATGTCTATAAATAGCCCTTTCTAGATTTTAAAACTCTGACCCTTTGTAACTTTAACCCCTTGTTCACGCACGTGGCGAGGTCAACTTGTCCCTCTTCTTGTGCGGGAGTGTCCAATTATCTGGCCACTTTTCAGCGCTCCGGTCGATTTTTTAAAAAGTCTGGCCAGTCGTGTCCTGTTGTATGCCAGACTGGCACACATAACAACAACTGACCAGACGACAGGTGTTCATTTATCACTGTTGATGTCATCAGATCTATTGTTAATTCAGTTGACCAACGTTAACCTAGAATGTATGTAACTAGCAGGAGGTTTTTCTAGCACCGCGATTATACTTATGAAAAGCATACTGTATACTTATAATGTCTATAAAAAAAACTAAGTATTAAGTTAATTTTTAGGAACCTGGAACATGTATATGTCTAATTGCTGCGAAGTTGTTTGTTTTTTAGACTTGTATAGTATACATGTCGCAAGTGTGGTGCACCTCTACCTATACAGCATTTGTTTAATTTCTTGAATATCTATCTATATATATAATTCTCTTCTTCGAGCCGTTAGAAAACAAGCTGCAAACGCTCTCCCTACCTCCCCACCCCTACATGGTTTTAGTGAGCTGTGTTCACTCTAAATGTTTACAAGCAGAGCCAACGATTTTA